AGAGAGAGAGGGATTATTACAAACATACACATACATTTAAAGTGGTAAAAGGGAACAATCTAACGAAAAAACCATCATCTCCGGTTAAGAAAGGCAAGATAAGGATTTAACCGGAAATGAGTAGTTTCGTATCTGTCTTGTTTATTTACATCAGTCTTGGTCTTAGCTAACTGGTCATTTTATTCATTAAATCTTTAATTTGTGGTAGCAAATACAGGTAGCAAGTTTATATGCAGTTGTCATTCAGCATTTACTTATTTCAATTATTTCAGGCAAAAATAAATTCTTATTTTAAGTTCTTACTGAATTATAGCATGTTGGATTTAAAATAATATAAATTTCAATTAGTTTTTCCATTTTTATTTAAACATTTGTCATTTTAAAAGTTTGACTTTGGAAATTTATTGAAATTTAAAAAGAATTTTGAAGGGAATAAATTCTGATTAATATAGACAGCATAAATGGCGCGATTAAATTGAATGATATTTGTAGTTAGCTTAGTTATTTGATTTATTTTAGATGAAAATGTAAAATTTCAAATTGTTAACATTTCATTAGATACAGCATTAAAAAGTCTTACAGTAAAACTGACCCACACTTTGATTTCACCAATTTTTTCTGATAATCATCTACGGGTTTAGAATATTCATATGTTGTCCAATATTCCCTCTTTCTGTCTCTCTATTTGTTCCTCTCTTATCATTCTTCTTTTTGTTCATCCGATACTATTAAATTTGATATTATAATCCGGAAATATTTTAAGTCTAAATCTGACATAAATCTAACATTATGGATATTTGATTGAGCATATTGATATTTTCCTCCTCCTTCCTTACTTTCTTCCTTTTCATCATTGAATAATTAAAATTGCGGAAAATGAAACCGAGAATCTTTACCGTATCCTTCTTCCTTACCTTCATTTTCTGATTTTCGTCTTATTCTCTTCATATCTTCCTCTTTCCTGTTTTTGATAATTTGATCGTTTTTTTCTTTTTAAATATAATTCGACAAACCATTCGTATTTCGTATTATTGCATTCTTTATTGTTTCTTATCACTGTGTTATTTTCCAATTCTACTTTTGTCTTTCTTTTCTCTTCCTCTTTCTCTTTTTCACCTTGCAAGTTCCATGTTTTTCTGAAAAAAAATGCTAATTTCTCATTTCATATAAGTTTTTTTACAGATGAAAAAATCAACTCCTGATTTTTAATATGATTGATTAGCCGAAAGAAATGCAGCAATTGAGAAAAAACTGACAATAACGAGTGGCTTGAGATGATAATAATGACGATCGATTACTTTGCTACAATTTAATTCTGGTTCAAATATTCATTTTTCAGTTTCAATTTAATTATTGCAATACTTCTAAGTAATCATTTTATTTAAAACTTTTCAAAACAGGAAATGAAATTAGCAGCAGTAATAGCATCCTTAACAGCAGCAACACTAGTAAAAAAGTCAATAACAATAACAGTAACAACAATAACAACAATGTCACTAACAGTAACTATTAGCAGTAATAACCATAACAATAATAACAATAAAATCAATAAAACAAATAAAAGGGAAAAACAATAACAATAATAATGGTACTGACAACAATAATCATAACAACAATAACGACAACGTAGCAATAACAATAGTAACAATGACACTAACGATGACAACAACAGCAATAACAATAACATAACAATGACAATAACAGCAATAACAATAACCGTAACGACCATGACAATAACATCAATAACAACATGACAATAACAACAATAACAATAACCATAACAACAATAGCAGTAATAATGGCAATAATAATAGCAACAACAATCAGTTTATTTAAATCTATCAATCTTACTTATTCTCTTATTTCTTCACTTGCCTTCTTTTATTGTAAAGAAGTACTTTAAATTTTCTTTTTATTCTCTTACTTTTTTTCGTTTTTTTATTTTCTTTTTCAGATTCAGGAAACAATTTATTCTCATTTTACTTCCTGTCAACAACCATCATTTCTCTGTCCGGAAATTTTATGTTATTCCATTTCATCCGGTCTTCGTGAAAAAGAAAAATGGTATCGATGAAGTGTGTCGCTGAAATGGCGAGGAGAAGCAGTGAATCAATAATTGCTTTGATACTACTGTTGGTACAGTGTGTTGTATGTATAGATATACAGTGCAGTGTAATGTGCATCCACTGTGTTTATGTTCTTTAATAAAAATAATTCTTGTGACCCCAGAAGTGACTTCAGAATTAACCTCGGAACTGACCTCAGAATTATCCCAGGATCCGCCCTATTCGAGGAAGAGGAAGGTCCTGAGCGTGAGATCTTTTTGAAAGACGTGTTCCAACAGGTCGGTTGGAAAGACGATAACGGGCGTCATTTGGTCTTTGGTCCCCCTTTTGTTCATATTGATATTATAATTGTTGAATTCGTTTTTGTATTAATCAACTTATAGGAATAAGGGTTTAATTACCCAAGTTTGAGGTACTACCAACTAAAGAGCCAGAAAGGACTCTGTTTTTGTCACGGTTGAAGAAAATCGACGACAGGGTGATTATTCGTGCCACTGTGTTATTGAATTATTCATTACCATTCAAAAGGAAAAGACGAAGAGAATATAAGTTTTCCTTAAATTTAAAATACATGAAAACTTGTCAAAAGTAACTGATTCTATTAATTTATGTCGCGAAATTATTTACAAAAATTTAAGATCTAACCACGATGTTGTTATTCATTACCATTTAAATAATAAAGAAAAGTAGTGGGAGTAGAAATTTTATAATTTCCTCTTTTGAAAACTCAAATTAATGATTTTTGTACTACCATTCATTCGAATTCGAGATTTATTGTGTTTTTGGGATGGCATTTCGGACTTATAATATTTTATATTATATCATTCTTTTTTTGATGCATTTTATTAAAGCTTTTCATCGATTACAGTATATTAGTTCACTTTTTCAATGAGACATCCCACATAATTGCTTTATTTCTATCACTTTGTCCGGTCTATTATATTTCCGATTAAATTTTTGATTTTTTTATTAATCTTTTGTCTATCTATTAATTTCGACATATAATTAACGAGAAAAATTGGGACATTATTTGGAAGCTGTTGATCAAAAAATATTTATTATTGTTTGTGAAAAAAAAAGTTAAAGGATTCCAATATTTTTGTTAGAAATTCAAAGTTTAGCAAACTTTTTTTTGCTTTACGTGCGTATTAATTGATTATTATGACATTCTCATATTTCATGAAGACAATAAAAGTTGATAATTCTGTTAAAGTTTAATTTTCGTTTCTATATTGGAATTAATTTATATGAATTCGTCGAATTTTCAGGTCATTATATATCAACACTAACAAATTACTTTAAAATAAAACAGACAAAAACAAACAACTAAATAACGATGTTAATTCAAAAAATGTTCGGAAGCACATGGAAAGATGCATGCAAGACCTGAAAACTGCATAAGCTGATTTGCGAACTTTGCGTGAACGTGAAGAACAATGAAATGTTAATTATTTTCAACATGAAAGTAAGCTACAAGATAACGTGTATATGTAGTCATAGTCGCATTTTTAAACTTTTACAGCATATTTTACATTAATGCATGAGTTATGCGTGAACACGTAGGCTGCGTAAGTACGTAAGCTTAGTTATCAAACCAAATGTTCATTATTGCATTAACAATTTGAAATGAACTTCATTATCAAACTGACGGATAAATGGATAAATTCACTCAGCTCTTTTTTACATAGCATTCAGACTTTCCTGATATATGAATAAATCAGTCTGAACTTGATTACTGCAGTCGATGTTAGCATAAAAGAGTAATTCTTGCTAAGCAGCCAGGATTTAACAAACTGATAAATCAAAATAAACTAAAATCTACTGGAAAAAAAGGATTGCTAGCCTGTATTTTACAGACGCATACAGACTCATACACATTCCACACTGACGACGATTTCTTCTTGACTTTTTGACCGTGATAAACAATGTGTTCAGGACGCCTCACTTCTTTGCGGAAAGGCCCTAACAACGTTTTAACATTGCAGGAATTAACGCCTATGTGGAGCGCAGATTGGTGGTAGCACTCTTTGTTAGCGTACATATAAAAAGATGAACATATACAACAGAGCAATGTTTATTTTCAAGAGAGATTACTGCCCTTCCTTTCCAATCATGATATCAGTAATGCATAGTGATCTCACGATATATTTCGTAAAAATCTTGTTTATTTAAAGTTTGCGATCACTAACCGAGCAATCAAAAATGTCCAAGGGATGTTAGCTTGTATTAAAAAAATGACCGAATAAGCTGTTGCGGATTTCGAATATTGCGAAGCTCCAAATGAAATAAAATGATTAAATAAACCAATATATAAATCACCCAAAATGTAACAATGTCATGAATTATTTAATCAATTTTACATTCCTCAAATTCATTGTCTCATGCGTTTTTCTTTGTTATCTTTATCTAAATTTACATCCTTTCCTTTTTTTTTACGGAACAGAACACACTCATAAGCTAAATTTCTTTGTCGGAGAATCAATCTTAATTGCAATGCTTAATGTTGCAAACAGAGCCTTTTGTTGTAATCGGATTTTGACAGTTTTTCTTTATCCAAAGGAATATCTGACGTAATGTTTGTTATAAACCACTTCCACCAAATATGCTGTTAACTAAAATTGTATATGTACTCAAAACTATAACCAGATCATTTCAAACACCCAACCAAGGACTGCACACGTACATTGCATCCTCTACTCTCTTCAATGAACATTTTTGCTATTTTACTCTGCGTTATTACAACCTACTAAATAACTTCCTCCTGAACCGAACGAAAAATACCTTCTCAGAATATTCGTTTATGCCTAAGAACAAACCCTTTCAAATCAAACTCGACAAACCAAACACTTTCATTCCAATTCTTCCTTTACAAGCTACAATTTCCTGAACTTAATTTTAAAAATTTAACTTGACAAAAATTTTAACTGCTGAAAACAACACCTCATTCAGAAGGTCGCTGAGTTGTCATATTTAGTGTAAAGGTATTTAACCAACATAAACAGCGAGAACAAATTCAAATAGTGATGGAAGCAAAAATCCTGACGAAAAATTTTTCAAATAAATGATTTGTTCGCAGATGAATGGTTTCAAATACAAAAGGAAAATAAAATGAATATTTCAAATACCTTAAGTGACGGATCATTTATCCAACTCCCATTTATCCGACAACGTTGTAAAGAATATTCGGTTTGATAATGAAGTTCATTTGCAATTGTCAATGCAATAATGAACATTTGGTTTGACAACTAAACTTATGCACAATGATGAGAATGTTACAAAGATTTAATCTGATAGTCATGTTTATATTCAATGGTTAACACATCGTACATATATTAGCATTCCGGCAATTAATTCATATGCAGATTCGTCCTGCCTGATAATTAATCTTGTATTCAGTGTTGTAAACTACTCAATCCTCACTCACTCATAACGATCTTAATCGGCTTTCATTCGCAATTCGATGCCCCCATTCCTCAGTACTCAACAAAACTCATCAAGTTTCCTTTCAAATGGCAACAAGAAACCAATTTAGTGATCAATTATATTCTCTAATCATTGTCTAATAAAACCCAAGAGTAAGCAATTACTCGTCAATAATAAAATCTTTATCTCAAATGTCAACCTCTATCAGCAAAAGTTGATACCACAAAGCGGGAAATGTCTATTATTATAAACAAAAGTGCACAATTGACAAAAGAGAAACTGACGAAACTTTAACGAAATTCAAGGAATAGGTTTAATACTCCAGATCAACACTTATCAAAAGAAGAAATACGACGATAATACGAGGTCAAAAAAAGATACCAAAGCTCCTTGAATAAAGAGCCATCCCGACAACAAGTATTATCGAAATTAAATCGGTATGGCAAGATACGTGAACATCAAAATTCGATGTCTTCCATTAAAGGACAATGGAATGTTAATCGTTCTCAACTCGAAAGTAAGCTTCAAAATGAAGAAAGCAAAACACAGCAACTTAATTTGTTGTAGGTCGAAAGAAAGCTATCATTTGCTCCATGCAAATCTAAAAAATTCGGTTCAAAGATTGTCAAGTTTAATCAAGATGCTATCACGATGGAAATTGATTTAATTTAATCCATTTATAATTTTTGAGAAGAAATAAATCAACAAATAGATGAATTAGCATGCAACTGGAAAACGAATTCGATAGAGCTACAGAATTAATACATGAAGAATTAACAGAATTTGCTATATATTGAAAATTGGTCACAATTGGCGCAAGTATTTTTATAATGTCAATTATAGTGATTGCTGCTTAATTATGGAAACGTACTTCGCCGTCAAAGGTCTAAACAATTGCTAAATGAATTAAATAATTAAAAGCTTTTTTACGATAAGACCAATTTCCCATTTAGTGATATTTGCTAAAAGACATGAATGACATTAATAGTTTCTCGAATAAATCATAAGATGCTTTACATCTATAATCTGTTTACATCTATAATCTTGCTTTACTCTTTTTACATAGCATTCAGACTTTCCTGATATATGAATCAGTCTGAAATTCTGTGCTTTTTTCGAATATGTTCAATACGCTTATGGACGTTCAATAATTTCCCAAGTCTCTGATCACATGTATATATAGTTACAGCCGCATTTTTACATTTTTACAGTATATTTTACATTAATAAGTGAGTTGTGCATGAACTTGAAATAAGTTTAAAATATGGGGTCACGTGTAAGGACGCTATTTATAAATTTGAATAAATTTAAGCGATTCCAGTTGAAGGTCAATAAAGTGGTCAAATGGCTGTGTTGGTACCAATTCTACCATGCATATGCATTTTTCTACTATGTCTTTTAACTGGTTTCATTGGCAATACTGCGCTCATTATAGCTACTATTCAGAGCAAGTACATCATTGATTGATTGATTAATTGATTAAGTGATTACTCACAATAATTCTTCGATCACTGATTATCATTGATCAGTGATAACAGATTTTTTATGGTTATTGTGCCATTCCACAATTTTCGGGCAAAATGGAATGAAAAAATAAAAGGAGGACAAAACAGCTATGTTATCCGACTAATTTACCTGAAATCGGGCAAAATCGAAATGAAGGATTCAAAGATTCAGAGCATGTTTCATTTACAGCATTTTGCGCAGCAGATTTCTGCAACCTTTTCCATTTTCAATTTAATGTTCAAAGATTTCAAATCAAAACTTCAAAATAATGATCGGATTCTCATAATTCATGAGAATTTCAGGCGTCTGCATAATGCCAACAATATACTCATAGCACTGAACGCATTTGGTGACATTCTTCATCAGATCGGCCATATCCCATTTGCATACTTTATTTTCACTGGAATCACTTTTACATCTTTACGGACATGCATTTGGATACAGTTAATACCGAATTTCGGTCTAAATTTTGCAATGACTATATTATTTCCTATCGGCATAGATCGAGCTATCGCAATTTTAGAACCTGTAAGGTAAGTATTTGGACAGGACAAGTAATCTCAATCTCTCTACCGGTAGAAGATAGTTATGTTGAAATGGTGAAAACAAAATTTCTTCTAAAGTCGAACATATTTATGGATAAGAATTGTAATGGTTATTTGCAGATATCGAAAAATGAGGATGAAATTTTATATCCCAGCAATGATCCTACCAGCCTTACTTTATTCAGTCGCTATGCTCATATTGGTTTTTATATATGACGAAAATAGCGAGTAAGTTAAATTCTCGACGCATAATCAATGGCTACTAGAATTTATGAAGTAATGTTTAAATTCTTGAGCATGCGACACTCTTGTTGAGAAGATCAATCAACAAAACCACCTCCTACCGAAAATTTTTTGCTTCGTTTGCTTTTGAAGATAGGTACAAATTTATTTACCTTGTTAAGGAAAATACGAAACAAAGGAGCGATATGATAAGAAATTTGATGTAGAAGAAGCTTGAATAAAGTTCCATTATTAAAAGGGAAGAAGGATAATAATATCAAAATTTCTGAGTAAGAGAAAAATTATATAAAATGTTCAATGTTTGAAATACTCTCAAATATTTCATACTGAAAAATATAGAAAACGCTCCATTCCCTATTTAATTCCTTAATTACCGTTGGCATCTTTTCATTCTATTTGCAGTATCGAAGTAATTTGTGTTGTGGTAGCAATATACAGTGGCTTGTCAGATTCGATTTGGAGCATTTCATCAGCTGTTATTAATTTAG